TCAGCAGCAACAAGTGCAACAAGTACAGCAACAACAAGTGCAACAGCAGCAAGTGCAACAACAACAGGTGCAACAGCAACAACAACAACCTCAACAACAACAACAAACAACGTGCACTGTAGATACAAAGACGATACAGCTTCAAGCGATACAACAAGTGCAACAACAAGTTCAACAACAAGTACAACAGCAGGTACAACAACAACAGCAACAACAACAAGCGTGCTCTGTGGACACTAAAGCAATACAGTTAAATGTCACTATGTGAGACGATATAGAAAGTGGGGATTGGTCAGTCCCTGGAACAATAGCACTCCCAAATGCGCACCCTGCTGCCACCCTCTGCACGCACTTCTCTTGTACTAACATTACACGTTAGATATATTTATTATCTCTAGAATCGAATACGAAGTAATCAATTTTATTACAAGAGTATATATACAAAGTATACATATTATATTCTAAATATGTAAGGCTTGTAACAAGAAAATAAAAATAACCATATATTAGTGTTTTACATATACTTTATATATCATTTACTCTAGATATGTAAAATGAAACTAAACAAATTAGTTGCCTTAATGAGATGATGAATTTTAATGAATATATTAACTATTGTTTGGTGAACTTTTTTTTCACTTACTTTTAATTAGTAGGACATCACTTTATAAGAAAATACATATTGAATAAACAAACGTAAAAAAATAAGTTTTTTATGTACTACTGCTTTGTTGTTATCCTTCATGCTGCGCTTGTATGGTGGAAGTCGAGAGAAATGTTGATCGTGTGAATGATCAGTAAAAAATAAATATGTAGAATGTATCAAGAAAGAGGGAGAGGGTGGCAGACATAGCGCATTTATGGAGCATTTAAAATTGTAGGTCTGCCCGAAAAAAAGAGATGAATGGTGTCTTTAAACGTATTTTTTACGTTATCGCAATTCATGCAATTTGTTTAACAAATTCTAGAGAATTAAGAGCGCAAGAGCATTACGAAAATTTATATTCCATTAAATGGATAATTATTAACATTACGAATTCAATGGATTCGAATAAAGTTCGAATCGTTAAAATCGTTTTGTTTTTTATACGATTGATAGCGTTTCGATTTCTTAAACTTCCGTACTTTCTTATGTTTTCGATTCCGACTTTTTTACTTTATAATACCAAGATATGTGTGAAAGCCATTCACATATTCTTACAAAATCACCCAACATAGCAACTTTTGTAATAGTTTTGTCAGAGATATGTAATAGCTAATAGAATTGCGCAAAGAAATGAAAGAAGTAATAAAGGTAGCTTTCCTACATAGTTTTAACATACATATATATTTTTTCCAGACAGATACAAACATGCAATGCGTTTTTCGTGATTTTACACGAAAGTAAAATACGATCTAAATTAGGATCACATTTAAAATGGAAGAAAACAGAAGAAATTGTTAAAGGATGAAATATTGTAAAACGATCCTGCCTCTACGTGCACGTGAGACGGATTATCTTGTCAAAGAAATATTTTGCCCACACGCACGAAAATATATGGGCTACACGAACAATCAGTATTCCTATTTTTGAAACCATGAAAATACGAGCATGTAGTACATGTATACAATTAAAAATTTCATTCGTTTCATTTGTGCAATATACAAGTTTATTCGAATGGTTTTGTTCACAAATCAAATACTTCGAATGCAACAAAATTTCACTGTTTACATATTTCAATATCCTGAAATCTCCCGCGTTTCATTCGGTAATATAATAAAAAAAAGAAAAGGTAACGCTTGTCATAAGTGACCTCTGGCGGTAATGTCCGGAGACTGATGAGCACAAATGGCGCATGCGCACAAGTCATCGTATATCGTCCCGCCTGCGGACGAACCGAAATAAATCGAACGACGCCGAGCCGATCAGCAGTACGGTGCTCGCTGGATGCGACTGTTTCGCGTTAGTGATGATCAAAACGAGTTGTCGTCGTCGTTGTTTGTGGCATTTCGCGAAGACGAAGAAGCCGTGATCCGTGATCAAAAGCTCGAGACGGAGAAGAGGCCGAGGACACACATCGTCGCTCGTTGCCGCGGCCACGGATGCATATGGAGGTGCGTAAACCCTTGTTTCGATGCACCCTCTTCTCATGCACGCGTTCTTTGTTTGCTTTGACAACATTACATACACTTTGTTCGACTCCATTGCCATTTTCTTACGGTTTGGTGTATTTCACGAAACGCGATGTATTCTAGACAATTGAAAGTGCAATGGTTGCATTTACAACGGGAATTGTTATTGACGATGTCTGTGTCGAATTGAAAAATTATTACTCGCGAAATCCTTTACTTTCATACATTTCCTCGGGCTAACCTTTTTATACAAATACGATATGTTTGAATCGCAATTCGAGGAAGGATACGTCCATGCTGTTTTCATTCGGTCAATCTGTGCCTGGAACGACGCAATACTATTTTTTCTTCTTCGAGTCTGTGTATCGACTGTGCAATCATTCAGGTCGTCAAAATAACATCGTCTTGGACTAAACAAGCATATATGAATTTTGCACGACAGTGAACTCTCCCTTGGAAACAGGCCGAAGATTAAAAGTACGTGCGCATACGGCATTGGACTTTGTGTACGCTCTCAGCTGACGGGGGCCTGTCAGCTGCCTTCCACGAGAAGATCAGGGCCGTCGTTTTGTGGCGTTCTATGCGATTTTTCCCGTTACCTCGTTCGTCCTGAATTTCATAACCGATTCTTTCCATTTCAATCCGACCTCAATGATGCTCTCTAATTAGTGCTTTCCCACTTGGTAACAGTGCATAATCTGCCATATCGAATAGCTCTGTCGTCACGTCCGCACGTGTGCGTGAAGAATCTATTATTCCATTGTTAATTGATCATTGTACACTGATCTTCTTGCACTTCTTCAATACATCATTATAATTTTGCCAGTCCTGCATATACTCTTCCTTTAATTCATTTCTTATCTGTATCTTTTTTTATAGTTTTTTAAGAATGTTTTTAACTTATTGCAATGTCAACGACATCGTAATACTCGCACTCGCGACGATAATTTTACTGATACTTAACCGGCAATGTCACTAAGATAATGCGCGCTGCCTTGTTTTGTACACATTCACAGCTGATTCAACCGCCGCGTCATAAAAACGTTCAAACTGTTATCTTTTAGTACGCGCGTACCCTCTTGCGACGTTTCTTCTTGCCGTGTGTGAACGTGTACAGAATGACTTCGATCGCTCTGAAAAAACCTACATAATACCTGGTGTAGAACCTGTGGTAAAGGCTAAGTGGCAGAGAGAATTGACGTAACTTGCTTGCTCCTTGCCTGTGTATTTTCCTAAGCCACCAAACTTCCATTGATTTTTCTATCGTAAACATTTGGCCAAGTTTACTGATATATATACATATAGTCATTTTGCTATAAAAATTGTGTCGTCAACAGGAATTCTTCGAAAAAGGGTATCTCTATTTTCCTTCTACCTATATCGATCGCAATTTGACTACGGGTTTCTCGAGTCGGTCGAGCGCCTTTCGAATTTAATAGACCGAGAACCGTTTGGTGTGTGTAGACGTGTACACAAAGTGCATATTAAGGTGCAATTCGCTTTGAAAGCGACATCCGTGATGCATCCGTCCAGGACGCTTTACATGGAAAATTAAATATGCGCGACGAGTTACGAAGGACGATGACCCGAATTAACTAAACTCGAAGCTGCTGTACGCCGCTTGTTCCTCTCCCGGTGTTTATTTAAGTTGCAGTGGTGTAGCCTCGCGCGATTCCTGTCTAGCCAGGCAACAGCGACTGAACGAAGCTGCTATAGAGTCGCGTCGGCTCGCGCAACGAAAGTTCTTCGTTCGTTCCTTCGTAACCATGCAACTGCCACACCAGTTATGTGTGTGTGTGTATATATATATATATATGTATATATATATATGTATATATGTATATATATATATATATATATATATACACGCATATATTGTACGCGTACCAATTTTGCTTTTCCACGAGAAAGTGCTTCCGTGATATTAAACTTTGACGCCCACCAAATAGCACAAAATAGACGGTTGCGCATCGAATACCATGATATTTCAAGTATTTCTATGTGTCTCTCTTTGCGTGTATAGCTATCTTGTCACATAACTAAACAATTTTGCAGAGTACAAACTTCCAAATAAAAGTTTGTTTTTTACCTGTGATCATTCGTACAATGGTTATGCATCGTTATTGGAATTTCGTGAAAAGTGAAACTAACCTTATTTACGACTAATTTGTGACTAATTGTTATTACCTAGTCGTAATACGTTACACTTCAGCGTTGCCAATTTATAGATATTTTCTAAAACGTCCAAAAGAGCGTATTATGCATGATACTTTTTCAATCGAATCGATATTTTCTTCGACGCGAAGGAACGCATAGAGTTTTCTGTTTTCATGAACGCGTCCGCTGTGGACCTGTTGGACGACGCTTTTGTGTACGTTTACAGCTGATTGGGCTGTCAGCTGGGCTGCGCGCGATAGAACCGTCTCGCAGGCTGGCCAACGCATGTTCCAGAACGCTCCGAGGGGGTCTTGTTTTTCTCTTACTTTTTTTTTTCTCTGTCATTTCCCAGCGGAGACTGCTCGAACGACCACGCCAGTCGGGGCAATGGCTTCTACAATCTTTAAACTTATCCCTACCGAGTTGCTCATGGTTAGGATAAGGTGAAGGGTTATATTCGGCGCGTGTGTGTATATACGTGCATGTAAGTATAAATACTCGCGTATTTACCCATTTATAAGTAACTTTCAACTTCATTTTTTATTTTTTGTTCGAATGTTGTTTTTACGTGTATTCGATAATGTCGCGAACGCTCGTACTCAATGGTAATTTATTAATGATTTTCTGATAAATATGTATGTCAGAATTATTACTTTCTTGTAAATGCCTAGCGGTAATCATATTTCATTCCGATACGCGGAAAAAATGTTCTAAACGAATTTTAATTCTAAGTGTATTTCCAATTAGTCATATTGGTTAGTGAAACGTGACAAACTATGAAGATTTCTCATTCATGATTCGTATAGTCATACGCTTCAAGTAAACTTCCGTTACAAACGTGCTTTATTACCGTGCCATAAACTAACGTATTATTTTCTTCGCGCGCACTTGATTAAACTCGGCTCTCATGGTGGTGGGGTTCGCGATCAAAAACCTCGCTATCATTTATCACTCTGCCGCTGGTTCGTTGTACGTGCGTGACCTACGCAACATGACTTTTCTTTTTTTCCAAATTTTTTCCAAATTTTTTTTTCTATTCATGATTACACGATGAAAGTTCAAAAATAATTCAATGTACACAAACTGTAGCGTATATTTTAAAAGAAATCAATTTCTCATTTTTATTTATTTATTTTTTATTTTTCTTTTCTAGTAAATATTGCTCGATCCTTGCTTTCTCATACTGATCAAGCGACCGGATTAGATCACGTCACTCTTTTTTTTCTGCTGATTCCTCACGAACGATCCCATGTGATGCTTCGCTATAGATTGGATTATATTCTTTATCTGGAACATATATCCCAGACTGTATTCGACGTCTTTGCCACGCGCCATTGCTTGTCCTGTGGCCATTGCTTGGAATAATAGGGACACGGATAAATATGAAGTCCATTCACTATTCCGCGCGTTAATTGAAACGTTTCAAATCGAACATCCGTTACGTAGAAAACAATGGGTTACGCTTTATTACGATGCGTGTCTGGAACGGTGTCATTTTTGCGCTAACTGCACGGGATTTCAGTTCCATTATTATTCCAATTATAGATAAAAAGGAACATCTCCTACCCCCGCCCGTCTGCATTTTCATATTCTCCTAATGTACATACACGAGCGAAAATAAAAGAACTAGCGTTTTCAATCCGTATATCGCACTCGCGTAGAGCGCATCACCAAGCGAGTGTTTTTGTTTGATTTCACTCGCAGTTGACGAACCAATAATCGAAGCCGTACATGCTATACGTAAATATATCCGCGGATAGACAACACATATGTGTCCATATATGTCCTACCCGAGCCTGGAATACATACACATATGTACACGCAAGGGAAAAGACCGTGGGTAGAACGAGGATAAAAGAAAGCGCCAACGGTGAGCTTTAACGCGAAAAAGGCCTATTCGCTTTGTAGCCGATTCAATAATATCTTCTGTTTCGTGGCACGTTTCAAACGACTGAGCGAAGTGGCAGTATTCGAGGCCTAGATTTCCTGTTATCGCTTTTATCTTACTTCGTCGAATACCGCCAGTGCTAATGGATCGTTAATTACCACCAGTCGTCGCGATGTAATGTAAATCCGTGTAGCAAAAAAGCCAGCTGGGTTATTGTATCGTCGTTCAGCGATTTGCTCGGAAGTATGATTCATGCCCGTGCATGCGCCTGTTCGCCGTCTGCGCGCTACGCAATTCGTAGCGTTCAAATTCGAGCGTTTTCTGTTTGTATTGTCCGTCACGAACCAATGGCTGAACTTAGATTAGATATTCTCCCGTTACGTATTATGCGTGTAGTGAGATATAATCGTTAGTGCATTAAAGCGGTTGAATTATTGCGAATTTTACTAACAGTATCGAATAAGTATATTTTAACGAATCTTTTATTTCATGATTAAAAGATGCGTTCGATCAGTGCGCTCAACGTGGCCGGGAAAAATGTTCCCAGCAACACATTCGTTCTTATCGCGGTTCGTTTCTTTCTTCGCATCGTGTGCACGGGACCGTTATATTGTATATAATTACTCGTTGCTCGTGCATGCAATCCTGCTTGTGGTTCAACAATCTTAGCGCTTTTAGACGTTCGCGCGAATTATTTATAAAACGACCGTGCACCTTGCTCCATGGTGGAGTTATCTGCATGCTAAGCAAGAAACACGTCGCTGCTCATCGTCCGTCCTGCCATCACGGCGTGTAATGCAAAACTTGTTGCGAGGAAAACGCGCGTCGTCTTTAGAGTCATTGTTCTCTCTCTTTCTCTCTCTCCCGTGCGGGAAATATACAGGCACACGTACACGAACACCGGGCAATCGCGTGCGTGGCTCCTTCTCCTGCTGCGAATGTGTGCTCGATATTTCTCGGTTGCCGCGTGCACGGAATATCCTCAAATATTTTGGTTGCTAGTCGCAATCTTACATTTACCGTAACATATGGTGCGTTCCCGGTTTGCGGAACGGAGAAACAAATCTGCGGCCACTTTTCGTGAAAATAACTGTCCGAGCGATATCTCCGTCCTATTACCTTTTCTACGTTACATCGATCCGCGACACGTCTATCGTTGATTATTTTGGCATCGAAATAGAATTGCAATGGAATTTGCGTTTTCTTCCGTTTCCAATGTCAAATGCAAAGTATAAATTGCTCGTGGAAATTTCGAAGGTCAGAGGGTATTGAGAAATTCATGAAATCAGATTTTCCTTTTTATGGAAACGTTCATTGCTTGCGATGCAACGTCGGATCCTTATCCGTCGAGCAGTCTGCGTGACTTATTGAAGCCATATCTCCCCGCACATTCAATGGAAGACGAAGCAGAAAAAATATAGTCGTTACCCGACAACGCTGAGGGGGACGTAGATCGACGCTACTCTTTTTTTTCCAAACCGTCTACACGAACTCGTTGAAACTTGCTGAAACAAATAAAATTGTATTGTTGAACCGTTCGATTGGATAACGATAATCAATAAGAAAATCATTCCCTGTGATTCTGTGTTTATATACCTGTGTACTTACCGCTAATTTGTGTCACTTGAAACTATCAAAGCTCACTGTTTACATCGCATTATCATTAGCAGATATTTCGGTTGTCGCGTAAAACATGATAAAACAATATAAAGATAAAGGAAGAAACGACGCAGCGCCACTCGTTTCTTTATCTCAAATGTTTGTGTTTACAGTGCACTTGGTATTCAAAGTGCGTACATCTGTTATTTACACTTGGTGAGTGATCGACACTTTTTAAGATGCGGGAACCATGAGCCCTCACGCGTTCACTAGCAACATGGCGGACTTCCATGAGAAAAAATATACCATTCTTTGTTGTTTAAATGTATCATATTATCATTCGCGTATCGTACCTATTTGTATCCCGTTGACGATCTTTTAACATTTGCAGTGCGTGGTGTCCATCTTCAATTTTTATTGCGAGATATGAACTGTAAAGAACGAATAGATGATACAACGCATGTAAATGAATCGACGTGTATACATATATTGTAATTATTCAGTTTTTCTTTTGCTTTTTTTACTCGCAAGAATTTTCGTTCCGAATTAATTAGTGTTTACACGTTGATATTGTACTCAAAGTCTTATTGATGGCGCGATATAAATTCTAACCTCTCTTTGAACGTAATTTCCACGAAAGTACTGCATTATAATTTTGGCAGCCACTTAATTCTACACGTATATTTAGTTTCAGTATGTATTCGACGACGGTAAGTAATGTTCCTCGTAACAAACATGTTGTTCTGATACACCAGCTGCATCTCTTTTTAAAATAAAGATTCGCATTCTTGTCGAAAGCGACAGTTCGCAGAGGTCACAAGATGGAGCCATACCGCGATCTAATGCAAACACATTGTGCAAAATATAAACATTATATACAAGCGACTTGGCAAATGTTTGCAAAATCATCGCTTTTACTATTTTTTTCTTTGCTTTCTTATCATAAAAGACGTCGATCTACGTCCCTGCATGCAACGCAAGTTAAGGCCGTATCACCGTGTACCGCCTTGCATGTGATATGCAATAGAAAACATTTTGTCAATACACGCGATGACGCGCGGAGTCGTGACTGTATTGCATGACCCGCGATGCGTGTTCTGTCGATCGTGGGTCAAACACGTGATTGCCTTCTCGCAAACGCCACTGTTCACGATCATCTATTTAACCCTTTTCCGTATAGGGTTAGTCGTTGAAAAGAGTTATCGATTATCGCGCGTGCTGTATTGAACTGCAACGCAGCGCGCCTTTCTTCGTCTTTTTGCATCATCGAGATTACAGATGTCTCGTTTATCGCACGAATCAATCGTGATCCCATTCTTAGTATACGGTACACTTTGAATCGTCAATAAAATTATGCAGTCGGAATAAGACTGTTATTATCGAGAGGAATGAAACAAAGTTATCGAATGTACGCATACATATAATCGTGTATTATAGTCAATGTGTAGAATTCAATGATTTATTTTCGTAAAGTGTCATTGAAAGGTTAGAATTGCATGCGATAAACTTTATATGTAGTATCGTGATATATGTATATACGTATGCGTGTGTATGATATCTAAAATACCCTAGAATTAAGAATAACGTTCGTATTAAAGCATATAGGTATTGTGTCTGCATTGTGGATCGGCTCGAAATATTTTCTTCTTGCATGGTAACTTGCCTGTCTATGGTAACTCATTTACAGCTGCAACTTATAAACAGCGCCACTTAAAAGATGGCACTATTTCGTAGACAAAGAATGTATTGTGGCTCGTTTGCGGAACGTTTTCTTTTGCATGTAAATTATCGGTCGCATGTAGATTCTCGATTATGTTACGGAAACGCTTTATCCATGCAGTGGTCATTTTTGTTAAGAGAGAGATGCCCATTTCGTGATTTTACACCATATTAACCATAAGACCCTGGTAGTTTTCAATCTGTACAATTAAAAGCTCATTGAATGGTATCGTAACACTTATGCAGTACATATTGCATGCGAGTTTTAGCTTACCTTATTATAACTGATCGTCTGTGTTTCGTATAATGTTGTGTGTAGGTTAGAATCGTCACGAAAAGTTCCGCTGATTTATCGCGAGGATAAATTAAAAATTGTAGTTGATTCGTGTAAAACATGTATGTTCGACCTCTAGTAGAAATTAGAACGTATTTAGTAGCACATTTTAAGCTGCTTATATGAATTTTATTATGCTAACCTTACCTGTTATATCGAGTTAGTGAAAGGTTAAGGGGAAGCCTATTATGTTAACTCTTATTTTATGGTGTAGTGATATAGTGAGTTTAAAGAAAATATGTAAAAGTTCGAAACATAAATTCGGTTCATCGATGGATTTGGACGGCAGACTAAGCGTAAAATCGATTAAGATTGATTTCTAGTTAGGCAGCTACTGTACACAACATATAGGGGGGCTCGTTCGCGTTCCTTGAAACAGGTGCTACGCGACTCCGCGCGAACTTCGATAGTTTCAGCTTAATCTGCTAGATAGTGATTTCGTTGTAACAGCGTCTCAGACAATCGCGCTCTCGTCACATGCTTGTATTGGGTTACCACATGATGTGTGTGAGTGCGCGGTATGTGTTGGCTCCGTTGAATGAAGTTTAGTTGAAGATGGCCGCAACTCCTTATTCAATGGAAGCGAGAACAATAATACATCGAATGTAGAAGATTTTACGCGCCGGCGTCGAAACGAAATTAGAATGGACAGAAATTTTTGTACCGTTGGACGTTAGCCATGTATATGCGCGCTTTTATTACGACAATCGTCACATTTCTACTAGATTGAAACCATTTTGTGCGTGTCGTACATGTATGTGTGCATGTGATCATTAACATAAGTGTTATTTAACGACGCTTCATGAATCTTTACGATCGTTTCAATTTACGATTCTGACAGGGTAGTTCATTCGGTAGCACTTGGGATGGTGGTCAATATAAATTGAACATTAACAAAAGAGTGCCAAAACGGTCAGCTCGGTTGGCAATTTCAATTGAGAAAGATAAATGAAGATTGCGTCATTATCGACATTCGTAGTGGTAATTAATCGACTTTCTAAAAAGTGCAAATCTAAAGAAAAGTAAGCGGTTAATTTGATGGATAAGTACTAGTACAAGAAGTAGAAGTTTCTAGAAAGAACACTTTACCTCTTATTTTAAGTACACGATCGTTCTAGCGTCCGAGAGGTTTAATGTCATCGATAGAGTTACCAATTAAGTTAAAAATGGACAGGTTGGCCGCGCAAACGTGAAATTATCGATGGAAAGAACGCGAGCCTTAACGAAATTTTCCTCTAACCTCGTTACCTTCGGCACCGATTAAATTTCCAGTGGGAAGATTGTGCGATAATGTTGCTGGAAAGTATTTCCTTGAATATCGTTATATTGATTCTACCTTTGTTATTTATCTCGAACCGGAAGTCTGCTTTCCGAAGATCTCGATTCAGTAATTAATAATCTTGGGTCATTGGGATCATCATCTTTTGATCTTATGAAAATGTTTCTTGCGTGACATTGATACTGAGGTTACCTGGTTAGAAGAATTCTTCCTGTTGGAAAAAAAACTCGATGAGGCACACAATATACGTATCGATTGTATTTACCGGTAACTGTTAACCTTTGCGGAAGAGTAATTTTAATCGGTATTTAATCTAATCACTTATAACGATCTTTATTGCTTTTATCTTAATGTTATTTATCATTCTATAAATTACATTTGTACTAACCTTGAATTCTTGACAAAAATTGATATTTCTAGATAATTCCGTAAGTTATCTTTAAAGATCTTTCTCTGCCTTTTATAATATCCCAAAATGTATGTATCAGATTTATGTACAAAGATATTTTTATAAATACTGCCTAAAATTGAAATCAAACGATACATACCACGGGACGTAAAAATTTTTATCCCCCATTCACATGGGTTCAGCTACCAAACCTTATTTACATTGTTCGATTCTCGATAAATGTTTGTAATGGTTCTTTCATTTTATCTAATATCCACGGATGTTCCGAAATTCCGGTGTCAATATTTTTTTGTTCACTTCAATCCATTATCTTATCGTTCTATGAAATACCATGAAATTTACATTCCTTGATAAACGGTTATACGTTTCGATTTTACAAAATTCTTTTCCCCGTCCTCGCTGTTAAAAAATTAATATTAAAACGGGCAAAGTGGAGGAAAATATTAACATTTTTAAAAATACGTTTTACCATCGCTAAGCATGAGCTACCACCGTGACTCACTCACGCGGTTGAAACGTGTGGCGCGTCTTCGCAACTTCGCAGAAGTTCCTCGCAACGCAATTAAATTTTTGAGAGCAGACCGTACGCTGTAGGGTAACTCGCACTACGCGACATCTGTTACACGTGTTTCCATTGCGTGCTTCGTCTGAGGCAGGTACATAACACGCGTCATATACCAACATCGGGTAGTAGAAAAACAAAGCGTCTATTGCGGGTAGGATCGGGCTTTCACTGGATTCTTCGCGTCTTATTCATTGGCGAGGTGGGCGCGCGCGCCGTCTGCACCGGCACGGGAAAAAAAGGATGACAAGAAAATCGGAAATTCCGAGGATGCGTCGGCGACGGGTAGCAATGACCTTGGGCCGTGTATTGACTCGGATGTTCCATCTCTTTGTTCCCAACAATTCGTCGGGAAACTTCTTTCTTGCGGCCTCTCTGCGGATTCATAGTCCGCGGCCATCGAACCGCGCGCCACTATTCTACACAGTCCTTCTGTATGGCCGTTGTATTCAAGGATACACGAAGAAGCAAGAGAAATTTTTAAATTTAACACGAGAACCGTCTTGACCATCACATCCTAGGGATTCTAGTAATTTTTCATTTCGAAATGTTTTATCCATAGTGTAATATAAAAACATTCAAAAAATAATAATATACTCGAATATATGAATAGTGATATATTATTTTATCGTGTTATTTACTTTCAGAATTTTCTTCGTTTACTGAATGAAACTGCGTATGAAATTATACGTGACAGATAACCGTTTTCAAATGTGAGTTCGCAATTTTAAGTAAAGCACACATGGAACGATAACAGGTTATATCCATTCGTGAATGAAAATAACGCGTATAACGTGTGTGCTTTTTGGTCTGCCAGACCGATTGGTGCCTCGGATACGTTAAAAATGTGATGTGAATTGGATCCTTGTATCGGTTTACTTTCCACTATATTATACCATTTCGGGATAACTTGTTGCGGCAGTCATTATTGCCATGCAATTTGATTAACTAAGTTCGAATTGCCAGATTCGAAGCGGCACTCGAACCAAATGCTATACATGCATACGTAGGTTGAAAAATGCAAAAAGTAAGAAACTATTCGAAGAAATGACAAAGGAATAATTCGTTTTTAATTACGTTGCATTCTTTTCCTTTTTATGGTCTTTTAGAGTGACTCTCATGCGTCAGAAATAATACAGCAGGAAGCGTGTCCGACGGTTGTGTCACACAGACTGCTAATTCCGCGCGCTGCCATAAGCCTGAAAAGTGAAGTAGTACCGTTATCGCAAGGCCACGACGAATCATTGTTTCGATTGATTCAAGCTGAAAAGAAAGAGAACAAGCGGAACGGAAAGAAAAAGTGAGAGGAAACGTAGGCGAAGAAAAGGACGCGGCAGAGGATTGAAGAAGGAGAAAAGAGGAAGGAGGAGAAACGGTTAAAGCCACAGAAAGCGTCTGGTGTCTAAATCCAAATAAGAGGTTACCGTTCTTTCATTCTTATAAAGCAGAAACACCTTGCTTGGTGTATCAAAACGAAAGCTCTTATTTTTGTTTGTACATACGCCACTACGTGTGTGTTTTTTGCAATACGTGATGGAAACGAGATGATTACAATTATGATGCACTCTTCGTTCATATTAATGAATGGTATATTTTATTCCAAGGCCTGAAACTGAATTGAAAAGTTGTTGATATCCTCTTGTTTTTCTTCTCACGCGTTTTACATAATTACTTTTCGGTAACGGCTGTCGAAGGGAAACGAAAAATCCTCTCTTTTCGAGCACCTCTTCACTTTCAAGAAGATAACGACGTGGATTTATCGATATTTTTCAACAGTGATCGATATTGGTAGAAACGTTTTTTTGGTCAAGATTATTTCAAGAATAATTCACGCTTGAAATTCGAAATAAAACGCTGCACTTTTTTGTTCAGGCATTCGTCGTGCATAGATATGAAAGAAACTTAATGAGCCTGAGTGCAGTGACCTTCAAACAATCCAAGGTCACAGAAGGGTACAACAGGATGCAATTACGGTTAAGAACCACAGGTATATAATCCTCGACTACGTCTTCTAAATACCGATTAAGCTTCTTTGACTTTGAAATGATCTTGACAAATCATTTTTCTACTGATATATAGATCCAGCTAAAATTAACAAGGTTACGGTATATTTGTTTCGACGGCCATTTTATCGACTTCGTTCAACGCTCTAAAAGTAAAGTTTCTCTAGATTCCTGCTATATCAACTCCGATTAGAGCCCTATAAATACGAAGTTGTCGAGAAATTTTCGCGGGAGGATTAAAATGTCCCTCGTTCCGATGTTAGATTCATACCCGGATAAAGATGAGGGGTAATTTGAAAAAGAAACGAAATAGGTATGGAAACGGGTTGGTAGCGCGAACACTCGACAAGAAGAGACTGGCCCGCGCTTCCTCGGTCCTTATAAAGAAGTCTTTCTTTAGGTGCATCATAATAAAGACCTTGTCTCCTTTCTTTGTTTGAACACGCGCCAGCACGTGGCGTAGCCGGTCGCTCGATATGGAGCGTACATCAATGCTATTGCGCTTCAAAATGTTCGAGCAGTTTCGCTGGTCCGCCGCTGCGCGCGCGCGCGTATGCATTTGTTATTTTTATGTATGCAGTGCAGCACCATATGTTATCTGTTCTTTTTCTGCTTTCCTCTTTATCTTACTGACGCCGTAACTATATCGAGATTTTTTCCGTCTTCTTCCTCTTTTGCTTCTTCTTGTTCTTGATTGTCTATAGTATACTAATAGTAAGCCGCAGCGCGCGGTTTAACGCGCTTGGAGGCAGAGCACGCACGTTATTTAACAGGTCGTTATAAATAACTCGGAACTGATAGTTGTGGAATAAATATACACGATAGCGAGTAAATAGTGTGTGAAACGCACAGCGTAACGAGTGCGGATTCCGAAGAGGATGCGCAGGAGCCAATGTTTGTTTTATTTTTAATCCCTAACCGAATGTAATTTTAGTTCTTTTCTCACGTGACTACGTTTGTTTACTCCATTCTAATAACTGTATCTTACTTTAAAGTACTAAGAATAGCGGGGACTTTGACCTCTCTTCTCTTTCTCTCTCTCTTTTTTTAATTTTTCATTTTAAATAATGTAGCTTTTACGTAGTAAATACTTTTTGTTTTTAATTATTTTTTTTTGTTTTTAGTTACAACGAAAATTCGAAACGATATTGTTCGAACAAATAATAGTTCTTCTCAATACGATCTGCTCGCGGAGGAGATTTGTGATATCGAATTGAACGCGTTGCGTTAGATCACGCGGCTATCCCTGAGCAGTGGCATACAACGCGTGTCGTCATCGTAGGCGTTATAAGCGCGTAATTTTAAGTTGCACAACACATAGACAGACTTACAACTGTCCATAACAAGAACTACGACGATCAGGTATATGAAAAGAGCAGGATGCGAATAATAATAATCGACGTTCACAGGTGTCCCCGAACCGGCGCTGTCTGAACCAGCTCAACAGCTGATCGGAGTACGAAGCGGCGGTGAACGGGGCCACTATTGCACCACCACCCCGCGATTGGAAGAAATTCGATATATTAATCGGTCGCTGGTTAACAGCCAGACGTTTCCACGAACGAGAGAAGAAGACGAAGAAGAAGAAGAAAGAGAAGTAGCGTTTCGGCACTTGATTAAAGGAGGGAGGAAAATCAACGACGACGACGACGAAGAAGAAGAAGAAGACAAGGGCGAAGTTTCCTTTGCTTGCCTGGACACGCCATCATGGTCAAAACTTTTCAAGCATACCTGCCCTCGTGTCACCGCACTTACTCGTGCATTCACTGCCGTGCTCACCTCGCCAACCACGACGAACTCATCTCTAAGGTGAGCCGTGCTAGATCAGGTAACGGACAGACTTCTCGCATTCACTTCCGAGCTTTGCACACAGCGATGTATACCGTGCTGTGCGTGTTATATGTGTATATATTATGTACATATGTATGCAAGTCTACCGTATGTATATGCAGTCCACTATACAGGCTTTTTCCTTTTGATTGCAGTCCTTCCAGGGCAGTCAAGGTCGTGCCTATCTCTTTAATTCCGTGTAAGTATGCTAATGCCTTCAGAAAGGCGAGATCGAATAGTCGTGGAAAGTAGGACGCGTTATTTTACCCGTGAAACTTCTCATGCTCTCTGTATTCTCGTTCTTTCTTGCTTTATTCCTCCTTCTGCTCTTTCTCGAGGAAACGATTAAAAATGTTTACATAAATGGTTAACGATAAAGATCGTTCTGTCGTTGTTTCAGGGTGAACGTGGGCTGTGGTCCTGCGGAGGAGCGAGTTCTGTTAACTGGCCTTCATGCTGTTGCTGATATTTACTGTGAATGTTGCAAGACCACCCTTGGGTGGAAATACGTAAGTTTCTCATGGAGTTTGTGAAAAGATATCAACGTGTATACACATATGTAGATAGATCAGAGTATTCGCTAATGACGGTTGGAAATTTTGTAGGAACATGCGTTCGAGTCGAGTCAGAAGTATAAAGAGGGCAAGTTTATAATCGAGCTTGCTCACATGATCAAGGAGAATGGATGGGAATAGATTGAGCCGAGGGTAATCCGCAGCAAGAAAGGGAATACCCCGAATGAAAACACACACAAGGCCCATCAAAACTTTTCCTGATATAAGAATAATGCCTACAATGTTGTTCTAATTGCAATGTGCGGCCCCCTCCCCTCTGTCAAACCACCAACGAAAGTCTGTGATTTCATTTGTGATTTGTAATCTTAGTAACTTTTTATGTTTCGGACAATTCGACGCTGTTTTTCGTTCTTTCCGATCGATTCATCATACAAGCGATGACACCGGCGATCCGCGGCGTCGCGGATCGATTACACGTGGAAGTATTGTAAAGAGAGAGAAAACAAATTATTTTTCAACAAACGAAGAAAAAGAAAAAGAAAAAAGACGGGAAACAAGAAAGAAAGAAAAAACAAATGAGTATAGAATATAAGAAACAAAAAAAAAAGAAAAAAAATAATGATGTTAGTAAGCGATGGTGAATATGATGACGAAGGTGCCATGGTGGAAATAAAGATGGAGAATCGTTCTGTTCGAACAATGGGGTGCCCCCCTAATTTTAATTCATTATCTTTCTAGACATTTTGCCGTGAATGTCGCAATGATAAATGTTAAAAATTAACGCGCGGGGCACCCCGATCAAAGATCAAGTTTTTTAATCCGTTATTGCACCGGAGCAGCGCAAGTGCCACAGACTTTGCTGGACTGACTGCCTGCCCGCCGCGTCTATCATTGGAATTTCACTGCCGATATTCCTAATATTAATTAAGATGACTGTGCCGCATCGTAGGCGACGCAGCTGGTAGTTTTTAGAATAGCTTACAAGTATAGCATACTAAAGCCTATGTTACAATATTATAGGACCTCATGGATATAGAAAATAAGGATACCGTAAGAAGTAACGATGGGTGTGAAGCGGAAGTTGAGAGAAAGAAAGACGGAATGAATGTCTTGCGTATGTGTACGCCATGTGTGCGAGAGAGAAAGAGGAAAAGAAAGAAAGAAAGAAAAAGGTTTGATTAATTGTGTCGTGTGTACATGTTTGATTTTATGTTCACCATGCCTGCCAAACTGTCTGTTTATCTGCCAGTCGCCATTACTGTTAGTAAAAAAAAAGAAGAAATACCGTATTCTAACATGTTCACGTTTTCGTCGGCTCTGCAAGGTGTGGTATGACTGAATCTTTTTGTTGTGAATAAACAAATCATTGGACTGCGCCTTCCTATGCACGCACTACGAGATATATAATATTGAAGAAAGAAAAACTGAAAAACGAGTTTAAAAACGGAACAAATTAATTGCTCATTACTTTTAATATCGATCTCATTTGTAAATATTAAATAGAGTTCAGTAACATCGCAGATCGCTATTTTACAAGAGATCGGGATGTCGTGTCCGATCTCGAAGCCCAAATGTATGATTGATTTTTTCATTGGTCATTAAATGAAAAAATTTTATCATGATATTGATTTGTCATTTTCACGCTAAACCAATACATAATGTCGTAGCGGCATTCTAATATAATTTTTTTTTTCCTTTGTTGGTAGGATATTGTATTTTTGAGACTGCTCGTGTAAATGAAATTATATAAACTAATTTTTAGGCGGCTTTAAATGTTACCTTCGTTGTCTACTTTAAATTTAAACATGACTAACATTTATATGACTCGTTTTAAGCATGGACATCACAATACTGATGAGATATCGATATTCAAATTTTAAACAATAAAAGAAGTACTTGTTATTTTTTCTTTATTTTTGTTTCATAATGAAACGAAGGTAGCAAAATGTGCAGGCGTGAAAAACGTTTAATTCCTATTTTAATAACGAAATATATCGAGCAAGAATATAATTGTGACATAAGTGTACAAAAATATATGATCGGTTTTTATTGTACTAGATTTCGCAAAAAAGTGCAGATTGAGTAATGGATAAGGAAAATTAATGGATTAAGGAAACACGAATTATGCGTTCGTTGTTTTAAATGCATACATATGAAAGTGCAGTGTATTTGTGCGTATTTAGAAACGTGGTGAATGAATGTGCCGGCCTAATTCCTCATGCTGTCTCTTAAAGAGTACTTTTTATATTACTGTGTCAATGCCCCTTAACACGCACTCACTTTTCTGGAGATCTTGTTAAATTGTTCCCACCAACACTAATTCCGTAGTTTTCAGCCGAAGCGTGCATTTTCTATGCGTGCGTCAAGATCAACCTCAGCAGGTGATTTACTTGCCCATGCACGCTGTTCACCGAAACCCTGTGCCATACTATGTACGATAATCTGATTAGTATCGACAGAAAGTTTCAGGGCTAATCGGTGACCGACTATCGGCACTTCTTCCGTAACGTCACCTGGGTTGTACACTTCTAGATCAGTGGTATATGCTACTGGCACATCGACACCCCAGGTCGCTAACCCCTAAAACGTAGATTCTCGAGAATTTTCTTGTACGATATCGATATGTTCGTGTAGTGTCAGGTATATAGGCCAATGGTACTTGCATCGAGTTTTGTTGGATCGCAGTCATGACAGTAATAAAATCTTTTGATAGCTCTAATATCGCTTTCAGTCGATGGGTCATTAGATCTATCGACACTTGCTCAACATTAACAGGCACATTACGAGCTTGTCTATCCCAATCTGTTGTGATTAAATTACGAGTTACCCTACACTACTCACGAGTGATTGCTCGCTCTTGACGCACTTGGTTTTGTACCTCCTGAGAGCCGCAAACAACTTGGATGAGCAAGGACAGACAACTTGCGTAGTATTTAATTCCTACGCGTGTTACTGTCGCATTCTGCCCTTGTCTGAGGGGGAGACATATGCTAATTGAAGATCTTCCAGCATTGACATGCCATCGTCGAGTACTCGTGAAATTGTTTTCAATTATATACTTATACTTGCCATTTTCCTCCTATGTTTCGCAAAATCTGTGCCCTTTATGAGTCCCCTTTTTACGTATGAACGGTAATCTTCGTAATCTTAAGTTTGCAGCCGATCTATTTGTAAAAAAAGAAAGAAAAAAGCAGTTCTATAGACTTCCATTGATAAATGCACAATTGCTTTAAACTGATCTAAGAGTACCCCACGCGTGATGATATATTCAATATCGATATAATACATCTTAGCCATCGCATCTGCAATTGTGAGACTAGTAACATTTTAAGAGTCAGCCTGTTCATCACCCAACATAGTGGAAGCACCTGTTGCTCAGGAAAATAGTTCCAAGATACAACTGTCCGTATATGATTTCTTATGGAAGGTGACTGCTGGGGTATAATTGCGCAAAATATTTGCAAATCCTGTCATTGGTACGATCTTCTAGGTTGAGATCTTTTGGAGGGATTAGGCTTTGGAACTGGGCCCTTCGGCGATTAAATAGACAATTAAATTCGTAGTTTTCCTCCACCACATCCACCATTTCCACCATTACACAATTTTGCTTTGTAAAACATGTTCATAATAAAAAAAAAAGAAATACAAAGTATTTAATCGAAATGGACTTATTTTATTTCGAATATGTAATTATTATTTGTATTAAAATATATTATGCAGAGATGAAGAGCTGGTTAGCTACCTAAGTGATAAATTGAACGGTGTAAGACAATGGGAGTAGTCCGATACTTCTAATTTTCTGCAGAATATCCCATCTTTTAATTTTTGACGGTCACGCTGCACAGTCATGAAATCTTCATATCCGAAAAATTAACGAATCTGTAGATACAGGTGTTTTAATGTATTAAAAAAATGTTACATTGTTCGCATATATTTTATAAAATTCGATATATCTCCAGTACAGATTTAAACAAAAATATAACAAATTATCTAAATTTTTGTTTATTATACAATACGAATTAAATTTTTTTATGTAAGATGTATTCGCTGTCGTGACTTAAAATCATATCTCAGGATAAGGGAACTTACTACTAAATGTTAACAAAAAGATTAGGATAAATAAACAATCTTCTTTCGATAACTATCGTTAAATAAATTTAACATTTCTTTAGTCTTAAGAATTAACCGTCATATGCATATTTGTTTCCACCAAATAACTTACAAGTCCTTACAACGGGTCAAGAAAATGACCTTGTTTGAAAATTTTGTTGTTCGGACATCTGTATTATGCCAAAGACAAAAATATGCTTTTTCCTTAAGATGCCTTCTTTCCATATACACAGACTAGTAGCAACTATACGATATCACTCACTCATGCTTTATCTCACTTTGCCTTTGTATACTTTTCTCGTATTCTTTATCACGCCATAAACTTATAAATGTGATCGGCATAGCCAATACTGACAATCGTGTATGTAGAGACATCACTGTACACTACATCAATTAGATAGGCTAGCTATCTTCTCATCTCAGCATAGCAGAATATAATTTAATCTGAGTTCTTTTTTATCGACAGAGTAAGAAATGCATTATGACATAGTGCATATCCAAAATGTTCAAGTCGCTGCGCGATGGCTTCGTAACATCGAGATTGCTCCGCGGTCTTTTCTGGTTCCTCGTTGATTTTCTTATTTTTGTTTACTTTTTAGTTGGTTTAAAAATGTTATAGGTTTTTGTTTATACCTTCGAAGTTGTGGAGTATAGGTAAAGTGTGACTTTTGCATTAAAGATGAAGAACGCGAAAGTCAAAGCAAGGTAATTGATTCCTTTTTAATAGGCGTGAGCTAATTATACTTGTTGCTTCTGCTGCTCGAATTCATTTTAATATTTATTTTTCTTTTTCCACAACATCACGGTAGTTTCCTATTGATCAAATAACTTTTATTAATTGAATGATTAAAATTTTATTAATATTATTTCATAATATCGAGAATAATAAACCTGCATCTAACCTAGAAGGGTATTGATTTTTCTTCCCCACTTAATGTACACAGTAGGTGCCACGATTTATTCATTCACGTGAGATTAAACGTGTAGCGTTCTATTTCGTGTAATATTATGTAATTCTTTAACTCTTCAATAATAATAATTATTATTATTTAAGCTTTAGATATTATTAAAAAAGATGAAAATATTTATTAAAAAATGTTATTTAAAATTGCTTTAACTTCTTTATTTTCAGACAATGTATGGAAAGGTTTGGAGATGAAGGTGGATATTTTGATGTTGTGGTACGACCAATGTTACAACAAGGACACGAAGGAGAATTATGTGGTTGGTTAAAAGAAATGAGTTTAATTAGGACTGTTTCTACTTGTCCATATCCTGAATGCAAAGGAAGAAGTTTAGCTTGGAACCAAGCAAGAATTGTAGATAAATATAGTTGGTCTTGTCCTAATTGTACAAGGAAACAATCTATTAGAGAAAATTCCTTTTTCTTTGGAGTTAAATGTGACCTGAAAATGTGCCTTCAATTGATACTAGGGTGGTGTCAAATGATACCTAGTGAACTTACTGCCAATTATTTAGGTCTGTCTGATAGAAGCATAAGAAAACTGTCTGATATTAATAGTTCTGAATCGATTAAAAAATTTCATATATATTTTATTTTTAGAAATAAAAAAACACGTGGTTAAGAAAGTATATGAAAGGTGTGATGAGGTCTCTGAAAATTATGTAGCAAGTCATCCAGAGGACTGGGTTCTAGGAGGACAAAGTGCAATATTAATTGTGGATGAATTTCCTAATGGCTATATGATAGAGAATCCTTCTGATATAACTAGTGCTAAGAAGCGCAACAATAATTCTCATACGATAGTTTGTATAGCAGAAGCAAATACAATACCAACTAGAATGTGGCTTCATATGATTGAAGCATTTCCAGAGGTATTGTTTTCATTTGAATTTATGAAAAATCATTTTTACATTGGCATGTTCTTTATGTGTATTTAATTTTAGCCAGTAAAAGTAGATAAATCACAAGGTGATATTGATAAATGTAATATGGTTAAAGAAGCTTTAAAAGAAATCACAAAACACAGTGCTCCTGGTAGTTATATTGTAGCAAATAATCGAGCTCGTTGTTGCAGTTTTGAAACATTACAAGAATTAAAACAATTTAAGGTAATTAGTGTGGAACAGCTCCAAAAATTTGATCCACCAGGGAAAAACAAACTTCTTAACAATTTAGGTATGTCTGTTGTTTATTTTTTTTAATAGTTTTATCAAGCGTACTATTATTTATAACTTGAATTGTATGTTAAGAAACGATTTGGCAAACTGGTGTCGAAGTTTGTGAGGAAATTCAAGAAACTACCCATACACTAGGGCAGCGTATAATATCGAAGCATTTATGGAGACAAAGATTCGGTACGTCACCTTCTACGGCATTTCAGTACATGCTTAATCATATTGCAGAATATTATCGCTTTATCTAAATCTTCGATATTTCGACTATGTTTTGAATACTTTTCTACCATAAAAAGCAATATCAAATACTAGTGAATAATTTCAGTTTTAATGATATGATTTCGTAGAATAACGCTCTAAAATGAATTAAGATACCATATGGTAGGGTTTTCATTAGTAATTGAAACAATAGCCTATATCCTCCTAAATGCGCAAGTTGCACAAATGGCCTTGCTAAGATTGTATTGTACATTACTTACAAATGGAGTATATAAACTATAGAAAAGGATATCACGACCTAATGTTTCGCCGAAACACGCACTCTGTGTCTTCCAAGTATCAAAATATTAATAATTTTTAATCTTAGATGTATATGATAATCGTTGATTAGTTAAAGTTAGAATATTATACGAGATAAACTTGAATCTATTAATGCACACTCAAAACATACTGTTCACTTTGTATCTTCAATTTTTCTATAAATTTAGATCGATGATCTAGTTATTGAAAGACTGATGGTGATATTGATATAATACCAAATTATTAATATATCAAAACAAAATTATAATATTACATTGAAATTTCTGGTTGATATAATGCTTTCAAATACTCAACAAAATTTGATCAAATTGATTGAAAAACCTCTTTTTTTATTTCATCTTCAATATATATGTATCACAAAAATTCAATTTATAATTGAAATACTAAAAATATTACCTATTTAAATTGTCCACAGAAAATTAACTAACTTGAAATTAAATATTTACTACCAGTTACAATTAGTATCAATATTTCAATTAAAACAAAATAAAGTTACAAGTCTGTAAACAATTGTGAATTTATATTATATTATTAATACTTACAACATTTTAATGAAGAACTAGCGTTTTATCCAAAGTTTTACACCAGTATTATTCTGAATAATATACTATAATCATTTATGTGTAATGTAAGCTAAGGGCACGTTTATATTTTGTTCGAATTATGGTCGGTTTTCCTAACTTTAGTTGAAGTCACTGGTTCAGTGACATAGAGTCTAGCAATTATATATTAGTTTGTGATAAAACCGACTTTGTGATATGGAATTGTTAGTTTTATTCGTTTCTTAACTATATCAATAAAAAAAAAAGGAATAGAATATCATGATTATAAAATTTTTGAAAAGTTTTCGCGAACAATGTGATAATGACGTTACTTCGTGCGATAAAAAATGATATATTAGAAGTTGAGAAGATAAGAAAATTATTTTGTAAGTTAATAGAACTTAACGCACTATTTACTGTGTATCTAAGATTTTTTATTCCTATATAGTTGGTAGGATCGTTTTATTAGCTTACATAACGATATTCGAATATAAAAATTTTTTCATTAAACAAACTACAAAATATTCAATATTTTTATAATGATTAATTATCTAGCGATATTGTTATAATTGTACGTATTTTGTACCAAATTGTAATGAAGAAAATGTAATACATTGTGTAAGTTTGAAGATACATTTAAATACCAAATAAAGCAATATTATTTCATATATCGTGTCTACTTAATGTTTAGGGTAAAAAATTCTATAAATATTTTTACATATATCTTTATTTAGAATAAATAAAGATACAAAATAATTGTAGATAACAAAAATATGTTTTAATAAACATATACATAAAATATATTCAATTAGTAAAAAAATTGTGTAAGTAGTGAAGTATTATTTGCTAATTGTGAGATTTTGTACGAAATCTTTACAGTACACCTTTTCATTTTATTTATAATATTAGCATTATGTTATTAATCATTACAGATATAGCACCTGTAATATCAGTTACAAAAATTCATCATTCATAATTTCTTTATAATCTTTCTGATCTTGTACCATTCTCCGAAAAACCCGATATTTTTGAAGATGATATCTTGAACAGAAAATGAAATAGGAAAATAATGAGTATTACAAATTAGAGAAGGATTTGAAACAATTTTTTTTAAAGTGATTTACTTACTTGTAGGTTTCACTTTTAGGTTCAACAATGTTTGCAGATCCTCCCATTGTTTTAATAGCATCGTATATTGTACTGAATGTTCGTGCTGCGTAAGATCCGAGAATCGCAGCCCCTATTAGTACCGATTCTTTTTCAATTGGACATAATACGGGTAAATCTAATACATCCGCTTGTATTTGAATAAATAATGGATTCTGACTTAAACCTCCGCAAACTAATAAAGTGTCTATTCTATGGCCAGCAGCTTCTAGTGTGTTCAAAATATACTTTGTACCGTACTGTTAAAAAACATCGAGTTTATTCTGTGTTATAAAAAAAAATATTAGATAGATTACATATATTCGTACCGTCAAAGCTTGTACTGTTGCCAAATATAATAATGCCAAATTCGCTTGATCGACTGCTAAAGTAAGCCCTGATATCTACGTGTTACAAATTAAAAAAATGTATGAAGAAACTTAAATAGTTATTAGATTAATAGAAAAATGGATAATGTTACTACCATTCCTTTAAGTGTTGGATCAGCCAAGGGAGATCGATTTCCGTGAAAATCAGGCCACACATGGATATCTTTTGTTAAGTACGAGACATTTTTTAAACCTTTTTGATCAGCCATTTTTTGCAATAATTCGGATAAATATTGTTGTATGTGTCTAAAAAATTATATGTTAAATAATAACAAAGTCTTGGAATTGGTTTAATTTATTTCAACTTACTTATTTCCACTTAAACTCTTCAAAATCCCTGGTGTTGCAGGATGAGTATCAATTATATGATCGAGTAACTTTCCACTTGCACTTTGTCCTCCTTCATTCAACCACAATCCTGGAACCATGGCACTGAAAAATGGTCCCCAAACACCAGTTGAAAAAAGTTTCTTCTCATTAACTATCATATGGCATGTTGAGGTGCCACAAATCAATGCTGTAAATTCCATAGATTAATTTATAGAACTTTCCAATAATGAATAGAGGTGATACAGAATTGGAAGATTTACATATACCTAATCTACTTTGTAAATCATACGACACGCCAGGTACAGAACAGCCTATCATACCAAGCCCTCCAGCATGTGCATCAATGAGAGAAGTTCCAACAGGTGTGCCCTTTAGGAGCCCCAATTCAGATGCAGCTTTTGCCGACAATCCTTGGTCAATCGGATCGCCCGGAGTCCTCACATCATTACCTTCGTATTAATATTTTTCTTTGTTAAAATAAAGCAATATTGTCATATTATCTGTCTAAACATAAAAGAGATTTGTTAAGTTGTTAACTCAAAAACTATATGATTTATAAAAGAAATTTTTAAACAAAATAATTTTAATATGTTTGACATAATCCAACTAAATTTCCCTTTTTAGAAATGATTCCAATTATTATATAAATTTATCAGTAATACCTATTTTCCTCCAGTTATCTTTCTTCAGATCTTCTAATAAGTGAATTTGTTCAAAGAATTCCTCATTCCATTTATTGTTATTATCGGGACCAGCACTATAGTTCCACTTACATACTAAGGAGCATAGAGATCTGAAATCAGATTAGAAAGTAGTACTACAATACTTATGTTTTGCATTAGCATACAATAATATTGTTACCTTGATTCAGAACCTGTTGCTTTCCACGTCAAGAAATCAGGCAGATCAAATAGCAGTGTTGCACGATTCCAAGATGAAGACAGATTTTTTTTGAGCCACAACATTTTAGGAGTCTGCATCTCCAATGATATTTTTCCACCTACGTAATCCAGCATTTTGTGACCTTGTGCATTTATAAACTCAGCTTCTTCCTGTGCTCTGTGGTCCATCCATAATATGACATTCTGTTTATCTTCACCTATAATAACAATTAAGGCATTGAACAAATATTTTACTGTGTTGTACAAACGATTATAATTTGCTTCTAAATATACCTGTTGGACTAACTGTAACTGGTGATCCTGTTTTATCAATTGCTACCAATGAACAAGTAGCATCAAAGCCAATTCCTTTTACATTATCTGCAGAAATATCAGCCACAACTGACTGTAGATAAAAATCAAATATTATATGTAAATAACTTAATTTATTGTAAGTAGTATAAATTAATTAAATTTTAAGGTTCATACCTTTACGACATGACAGACTGCACTCCAAATATTATCAGATGATTGTTCATAAAAATTAGAAATAGGGTGAAAAATTTCCAGTGGGCATGTTGTTAGTTTTACTATCTTTCCTTTGGAAGATACCAAAGCAGCTCTAGCACTTCCTGTACCTACATCAACACCCACAAAGTAATTCATGTCTATATTTCTTAGTACAATCCCCTAAGTTTTATACCTTCGACTAAGAAAATCCAACTAAATATTCTATTTCAACTGGAATCATTATGAGCTGCAAATAAGAATACACAATTATTATCAGTGTAACTTTACTGTAATCATAGGCTTATTTTTTATCTTACATGACCCTGTGATAACTCCTGCATAAATAAGAAACAGTTAAGTAGTAATAATTTATTACTGTAAATACTTTCTTCACTTTATTTCATACACAAAGTGAAAAAATATAACACAGAAAAAGAAAATTAACAAAATTATTTCAAATTCACAATTTGGGATTAAATTTGAAAGTGTAATATGTAATATACATTATATAAACATGTCAGATATAGAAAAATAACATTGAAAACGAAGTCCAATAATATTACGTAAGTAGGATATGTAAATCTGTGTATGAAAAGCATGTAAAAAATTCTAACTACGTTATCTTAATTATTTATATTACTTCGTAGTGTAATGTTTTTGTTTCCTTTAAATGTTTTATGTAAAGTTCTATTACAGTATCTGATAATTAATTAATGAAAATAATATTAGTCATTGAGATGAAAACTAAAAAACTACATTGTTAGGAAAAATCGTAGAAAATTTGGTACACATTCATACACGTCTGCTACCGTATCTGACAGTGACCTAGCGATACCTTACGTATTGAATAATCAAAGGTAGTACACGTGATAATATCTTAAAATTACAAATTTGTTAAAATGTGTAATTTATTAGTAATTTGTTATTAAATGATATAATATTATGAACTGTACATGTGATTAATTTGTATTCACTTTTTAAATGCTGCTTTTTAGAGAACTTTGTACATTAACGCATCACATAACCTAAAATATGGTTCGGTTTAAAAACAGGTAAGGAAACAATATATACCAAATATATTTTAATTCTCTTATTTATTTTGAACATTTATGATACAATTTCTTATTATTGTTGCTTATTATTGCTTTCACGTATGGTATGTGTAATTAATATGAAATATATTCGTAGATATATAGTATTTGAAATAAGCCTTAATGATAAATATAATAAGCCTTTCCAATTAAAAACTACAACTTTACATGTTGCAATTCAAAAAAAGGTACAACAGTTGTACGGTGATTTTGGAGATGCAGCAATAAAAGCTGGTTTTAGCGGTAATGTAAAATCTTAGTTTTTAGAATAATAGAAAAATTAAATTTAATAAAAATATGTAAATAATAGAAAAATTAAATTTGACTTTATTACTTTTTAGCAAAGTATTGCAATATACATACAAAAATAGCATTAGTAAAAACTAGACACGGTCCCCATAAATTTTTACTGAAAGCTATTCCAATGATAATTGATATTGCAGGACGTTTAGTATCAGTAAAAATACTTTATGTGGGTGCAACATTAAAACATTGTTTCCTTTTTATTAAAGTAAGTAGGATTGCTAAATTATGCGCAATTAATATAAAATATACTCTAAAATTGAATATAAATTTTCCAGAAATATCAACAACAAAAACTAGAACAAGTATGGAACACTCTTAAAAACGAAACAGAGCGCAAAAACATGGAAAACGCTTTAATGACGCTAACTCCAGCCATGAAAGACTGTACATAAAACATTATACTTTCGAAACTAAATGTATTTATATTCATAAAGTGGTGCAAATTTAATAAAATCATTTTTGAAATATTCTTTAGTTTTTAGTAATAGAATTTCTGTGACGTATCGATTACATTTTGTATTTCCACTCGTTCCGCTGTTCTTAATGAAACGCGCGAATATTTTGAATTTTCAACCACCTATTTGGTTTGTTCCGTCGTTCCAGTGAATCCTGGCGGTGAGCTTACCAGTCGATAGAGGGTGCGCGTAAGGGTCGTTGTTGGCCGTCGCCAGTTGTCGCTGGCTGTTGCTGGAGTGTCGACCGCTCCTGTTGAACGGGCAAAGTGACGGTGGCTTGTATGAATATAGTTGGTAGTCGATCCGCGAAGGTGCTCTCAAAGTGGTGCGATAGTCGTGTGTGGCCCAGTATGAACAGGCAGAAGCTGTAGGTCGTTTCACGAAGATACTTCGCGAAACGTTCATCGCTATTTTCAACGAACGAAAAACGAATATATGCGTTGCATTCTTTTTTTAACGACTAAGTTTATTGAGAGGAACGTTTAACCGTGGAAATCGCGATAAAGAATTAACCGGCACGCCTAACCGGCTCATCGTCGATTTGTAAATAAATGTGCTACGAATCGAAATCGACGAAGAAGCGTCAATCGAGACATCAGCAGCTCCTCTCATCTCTCGACGAGGATCTGACGTTTCTGTGCTCGAGGTAAGGAAAAGGCAGTGCCCTTCTTGTATAGGTTATCGATTTCGTTTCCGCGCCGTTCAAGGGGATGCACTCGGAATCCGTTTGATGCGAATCCGTCCGGTTCTCGTTCTTGTCCCTTTATTTGCGTTTTAACTGACTATCGAATCTTGTTATTGGATACTTCTCGGTTCGCTTGAATGGAACGATCGATGTCGTAAAATCAGTGGCGTCGCACCCTGTATGGTCAGATGCTATCTTTTGCGAGGTGAAATAAGTAATACGATTCAAGTACCGAGATAATTGTAATTATTTTGATTCCAATTATAATACACTCGAAAGTATATGCCTATCTTCGTACATAAAATTATTTGATATTTGTGATCGCGATCTAAACATACGAACTTCCTTTTTCGAACATTAAGTATATTCGAAACATAATCGCACGGACAAATCATATTACCGAATTTACTTTTTTCGATTATTCAAATAATTCGTTCGAATTCATTTTCGATCTTCGATGTATTATTCGATTATTATAAATATATGTTGAAGAACAAAAATGGTAGCAAGATGGATCGTGCTAGAACAGAGCCACGACACAGAAATAGCAAATATTTAGCTGCTTGGTTCTCCAAGGATTTTATTTGGAAATCGTTTACGAGCCTTGCGCAGGCCTCTCGGAAGCTGTGCGAGCAGATGTCATTCCCGCTCTTAAGTATAGTTGGCCGGGACCGAGACCTTTTTTTCTATTCTGTGTACGCTCCCCGGATTACAATACGCTCCGTCAGGAATAATATCGCGGTCATGCTGTCGGCTGGGATTCAAATTGTTTTTATCGGGAACGCAATAATAGTGCGAATATATAATCCATGCAGTGGCGGAAGCTCCTTTTATGTTCCGCCTACTGCCGTAAAGGGTCCTTCACCCGATTAGTTCTGATGTTCGGAGAAACTATCGATTTGTCAATTAACCCATGTCCACACGCCTATGTTTGACCGGCTGCAGTAATGCTTTCCGTCTTCTCGAATTTATCTGCTTTTAACCCTTTGCACTTGTGTAACGGTAGGCGAGTGGCAGGGACGTATAATTCGTATACGAACCACTCGAAAATGTTCTCAGTTACGATTTAATTTTTTAATTTTATTTTATAAATATATTTAATATTTCTTTAATCAATTAGGTTTCGTTCAAGCAAAATTCGATATTTTTGTCACACAGAAAGTCATTCTCTGAGGAATATTTTTCAACCATGTCACAGTTGTAACGTCTTAGCTGTAAATTTTATTATTAAATTAAAATTAGGTACTTTTATAGTTACAGTACAGTGATTTATTCCATATAGATAATAAATGATATTAAAATTTTCTCGAGGCAGATGTCATTCGTGTATAATTGAAATATTCGTAATCGCGAGCAGGAATAATTTTATGATCTTTATGGCGACTATTCATTAGGCTAAGTTTACCCAGTAGGACGTGCTGGCCTGCGGAAAGGGTAGATAAGCTTGTGTAATCGTTAGCGATAGAGTCCTCTGAAATAACTTAATATAATCAGTGCTTTTCGTGCCTACGAACACGGAAACGAAACGTTCGAGGCAAATGTAATATAATTTCCATCTTTTTCTTTCTTCTTTTCCTCTTTATGAAGTCATCGTACTGTATAAAAGTCATTATATAATTAAATATGATAAACATAGAGAAAATAAATGTTTTTCCAAAGGGACGTTGAGAAATTTCGAACAATTGAATAATTAAATTGTCAGCAGTCTATCTGGTGACATATACGCTGTTTGAAAATTCCCGCCAATTTGTTTCAAATAAGGATACTGTTACACGGTCGTGATCGTAGAATATTTAATATGTCCAATGTTTTTCCGCCATTTATTATATAAACCCTGGGATCTTTCGTAACGTATCGCAAGTAGGGCATAAGGATGACCATTACGTAATCCTCATGAAAGCGAAGTTATTTGCAGATTATATCGTTTATTTCGACGTCGGTTTGAGGCCGTCGAATATAACGAAACATACCTTTCTTTCAGTCGACCGTTTCGAATCTTTAATTATACTACTTTTTAGAGTATCGGTTCAAACGAAGGAAGAAAAATATATATATATATATATATATATATATATATAACGCGTTGAAAAAATGCAAACATAACCTCACTAGTTATAGCACAGCGGTTGACGAATTATATATTCTTTGTTTGCGATAGGATTATAAGTGGTATTAGAATAGCATAATTAATATTTTTATCTTTTTCTTATAAAGAATCTTATAATAATAGCGTTGATAATATATTTGAAAAATTTATGTTTCTATTTAAAAAAATTCGTTCCACGCGTTTGAAGGAATGACTTTCATGATAATTTATTTCAAGAGCATAAATCATTCACAGTGGTGAGTAAGTAGAACGAAAATAAGACAAAGTAGTAAGAAGTACGTAAGGTAGATGCCGAAATTGCTTTCCACTTTCAGCGACGCAAGGCTCCATTGCTTTTTGCGGTGGACCAATTGTATTACGTAAATCAATTAAATCGCCTTCTCTTACAAGTCTTTGCACAGATCTACTATTTTTACTACTATTTCGGTTGTTTTATAAAAAAAAACATGACACACTTTCTACAACGTTGTTGCTATACAGAATGCTCTATCTTTTCAAATACTCAAAAGTACTCTCGATACCATGCCACACTTCTCCAAATTTTTTTTATTTTCTACTTTTCAAATTTCTCCTTTTTGAAACTACATCAACAATATTTTATTTTTTGTAGACTGCTTCGATATTTTTCATTCCCAAAAACTTTTGATATTTTTCAAATTTGTTTATCCAAGAATAATACAATATTTTTTATTTCTTATTTGTCTCTTTTTCTTTTATCTTTTCCAGTGATATTGCCTGGTCTTTTTTTCTGTTTTTCCTGCTAAAAAATACTTTCTAATGATACGAAGATATTAAATATCGGATCACGATGAACGTGAAATCAAATTGAATCATGGAACATTGACGCAACAGGATTCGATCTTGAGCAACTCGAAGGCTGTTCGCAGAGCCGAAGTAAAAGGAGCTCGCGGTAAAAGTGGAACTTTCTTTCTTCCTTTCTTTCTTTTCCTCGGCTGGTCACGGCGCGTATAAACGATACTTGTTTAATGTTTACGCCGGGCGGGAATAATTTACGGGGCGACGGTGCACGCCTGCAGAGGCTACTTGGCTTTCAGCTTCTGGTGGGTTCCTTTCTTCGACGTACAGATAAACTCTTTTATACATCATGAATCTTTCTCCGCGTGCGCATTGACACTAATTGCTTATTAGAATGCGTAATCCTCTTTTGGTCGTTGATTTAATATGTTAATAAAATTAACGTCATACTCGACGACTTCCGGTTTCGTGTAAACTGTTTCATGATGTTTTAATCTCGCCATGGTTCGCAATCTGTTTCACGATCGTGCGAATTGCCTATGCTATGTGAAGTTCGTTCTAGACGAATTCAATTTTCTAATAATTCGAATAAAATATTTGTCAATCAATTTTTGTCGAATTGGCACGCGTTTCAATATGTCGAATATATCGTGTTTCATACAGGACGAATTCATCGGGTTTTAATAAAAATTTCATTTCGACGAGAAATAAAATACTTTTTTTATCGGTTGATATCTTTCCTGGAACGAGATATAAATTTATTTATTCTGGATTAATTATTTCCTTTGGAAAATACTTGCAATTATAAAATCATAATCGTATCGAGATAGATAATGATAAGTTGTACAGTGAAAATAAATGGTTAAAAATAATCGTGTTTCTATCCGAACGAAAGTCAATGTTAATTCCTCACCAGGCAGCTATACGTCTTCTGTAATTGCAAAAATGGAATTTGAAACCGATCGCCTCGATTGGTTTAGTTACATATCCACGTATCAATATTTTTTAAGTCTTGCCCCACTGACTCATCACCGTGTCATTATTTCTTACTACTGCGTCATTGCACTGGCATCGAGCGGTCTATTTGCAACTATTAGATCCTAGTTGTATAATCAACATAACCTATAATTATGACATTCTGTCATAAATATAAATAATAAAAATTCGGCTCATAGAACATTGATAGTTTATAGAAGATTATAGTCTATCGACTATCCACGTTGCAAAATGTAATATAACCTCAACTGCAAAAATCCTTTTTTCAGTCTCACGTTCCACTACCCTCACCCCGTGTGTCCATGGAGTTGTAAAGTTTCAATTCGAATGTGCGGAATGAATCACGACCAGTGAGCTTTGGCAAACAGACCGAAGCATAAAGAATAGTGATACACGACGAGACTCGCCATGCCAAAACCATGCCAAGCCACTCTCCAATCTCGCACCTTCTGCAACCCTTCTTCCAGGGCTGAACTAAGACTTTTAGAAGCCCTACGCACTTGGAGATTCTCAGGCCAATTTTACAGGAAATTCTTTCCTTTTATCTTTCTGTCGTTTCTTTCCTTTTTTCCTTTCTTTCACACACACACACACACACACACACACACACACCCATATTACACATAGATATTGATGAGCAATATTATTATATGTGTATATGGACCAAGTGACTGATAGGTTATTGTGAATAATGTCAGTGTGATAATTTAGGATAATATAATTAAATGCGATTGCGTTATGCATAAGGTCTGTATTAATCACTTGGTCTATAAGGTATGTACATAAAAATTTAGACAGAACTTTTATGCGAGTATCTTTCATCTTCTCATGCCCCAAGCATGTGTTTATCAGCAAGAACTAATCTCGTAATGTGTTCACAGAAAAAGCAGGGAAATAGACCTAGCGGAATATAGCAGAATTAATAAAGGCAACGGTACGAATACTTATCTTAAAAGGGATACTTACGCATATAGACGCGATTAATGTCGCTTATGGTAACGGCCACGAATGGAAATATGGCTAATCCAGCCGCGGGCACTCGCGTACACGCGCGTGGCTATAAACTGCAACGGATACGCCGGTCCACGAATGGCCTATTAAAATGATTAATTTATGGAAAGTGTGGCCATTGGGAGAGACGACGAGAAAACGTGGGACGGGA